ATATAAATGGGCGCAATTAATCTTGTTTTTAATAGTGTTATTCTTGGATGTGATATTTTCACAACGTGTAAACCTTGAAGTGGTATTTGTCCCTCTCGAATGTTCATTCTGAGGGTGTGTCAAGCTTGAATATTTATTGTCAATCTCAAGACGAACATTGTCAAACTTGCACGTGAAAAGGGTGTTGTTTTCCCTTTTCCTGTCCGGCACCCGCCCGAGAATTTTCCCTTTTTTTCACTCGACAGTCAGGCATCCACATTCTGTCTTCCCATCGCCTTGTAGCCTACTAGGTTCTATCAGGCCAGTAGCGTCGGCTGGAGATATGCAAGACGCTCCTGAATCTACATACATGATGTTTGGGAATTATTTCCTCGAGAGTGTCACCGGCAGTGATGGGTTGGCCGTCGAGTCGATCCTGACAATGTAGCGCCACCGACCGCATACTGCCAGAATATGGCTGGTCCTCACAGTTGTGGTCTGGCGAACGAAGGGGAGTAGACTCTCGCACAGAGTCTCTGACATGCTCACCGAGCAGATCCTGCTCGCGTCAAACCACAGCTCAATGGGCACATCAATCCAACAGGAAGTATGCTCGAGTGGAGAAAGAGTCTTCCTCCAGATCCATCTATTCGATCCTTCGCCAGTTCGAATCCTCCTATTGTCGATACGATCCCACCCGGAATGCAGTCTGTGCGCCTCTCCCACCCTTCGTCTGGACAACCCGTGATTCCATAGTAGATTCTCGCTTACTGATGATATGTTCTACTACCCATCTGTGACCATCGAATAAGTCGTACATGTTCCGCTAAAAGTACTCGAACTAGGTAGCTCTAAGGGGCTGCGTAGTGCAAGGAGTACAAATTAATTCTCCGAGTTGACCTTCAACTGTGTTAGTATTAACTTGAAGGTTGATCGTTTGGTGATCGTATTATAGCGATTCCGCTCAAGCTCGTCAACTGGACGAACACAAAAGCAATCAAGTTGAATCTGGACACTCAGATTTACGAAAAAGTCAAATGACGAAGATTACACAGTCGCTCCCGGAAGAGAGTAAACACTACCAATAGAAAGTAGCGATGACCGACGAATACTTCGCAAGATGATAGATAAACATCAAAGATATCATAAACAGGTTGCCTGTTATGAGTAGAAAACATAACTCTGCAAAGCACAACTATCAGCTACTTTGATCGAACTTTTTCAAAGTAGCGTCATTCGTTGAGCTCGAGTATGCACACATTCGGCTTCTCAAAATCGACGACGACAATTGACTGAAATGACTATTAATCCGACCAAAAAGTGAACACGCACGAAGTCCATGTTAAACTGTATCTGAACCCTGGGGAACCTTCCTGCGCTTAGATGTGCACATCGCGCAACAACCAGCCCAGCACCCCTTCCAGTCTAGGCTACGACATTGCTTGGCTAATTTCCTTGGTAAACCCGTGAACCAACATATCGAGAAAAAGAGGAGGAAATAGCCCAAGTACGTCAACACGAAGGTAAAGAAAATGCCGTAGAAGGAGTGTGAGCCGTCCGCGTTGTACCTGTGCAAGAAGACTGAGAATGACCAGCACTGGTAGAAACTACTCACATCGGCATGTATACGCCCAGAGCATTCGAAGTGGTGACCTCAACAGGCCCTACACCAGCATCGGGACATTCCCCCTCCTGCCCTTGTGCGACAGTGGGGACGTTGTACACGCAGCTGCCGAAGTGGAACTTGTACTCTTTTCCAGTGATAGCTGAGGGGAACAGCGATGATCAACATGATGAGCAACTGGCGAGGCTTACGATCCTGGAGTTTCCAGCTCTCAGCATCCATCAATACGTGTCGAAGCAAATCCATCA